TTTTTTTTTTTTTTTGGTTTTTTAACGTGTGTGGTTGTTCTATGTGTTGGGACCACATCTGACAGTGCTGTTTGTTTTTATTTTAGGACCTCTTCTAGTTCTGTTCTTGGGGATTCATATGGTGCTAGGGACCGACTCAAGTCTCCCTTAGGCAAAGTATGAGCTCAGGCCTTTGAGCTACTGCCCTGGCCTCAATGAAGTTGGTTTTAAAATATTAAATATATTGTTGGATTTAAACTAGAAGATGAAATGCTGTTAGTCAGCAAAAGGCACTCAAAGAATAGTTTGAGAGCAGACAGTCTTGTAAATTGATTCAGATTTTCTAGCTCTCCTGTTCCATACAAAACAGAGCACAATAAATCTTTGCTTTTTTTTTTCATTAAATGGTGCCCTAAGAAAACAGCTGCTTCTTGCAACTAAAAGAAACTAAGAAAACAGCTGACTACTTAAAGTTACTGAATTTTTGTGTTTGTTTTTCAATTGTGTCTATTAAACAGGAAAAATAATGAGTGCATGGATGAGGAATTGGTGCAATCAATCATATTTTGTGTATCTGAAATAATTTTTAACATAAAAAAATCAGTATCATGTCTTGAGAATAAAAGAAAATTTTAATCTTTTAAACAATGGAGTTAAAAGCCCTTTTTCAAAATATGTGACAACACACTATAAAATATAAATCTAGAAAACGAATTATTATGACAACACAAATGGTAAAGTACAAGATGAGATAAGCCACTTATGTGAAAAGGACTCAATTATAAAAAACTAGCTTTGCTAATGGATACATAAATTCTTTTTTGTCTGATTTATTTTTTTGATAGAACACAGGGCAAATGACTTAAAGAAAATAACATCCCAGATACAGCTAAAATCTGAATGGAACTGGAAGCAGTGGAGGACCACACACCATGAAATGTAAACAGTAGAAAAAAACTAGATGCCAGACAGGAAAAGAACCAGGAGAGCAGTCTCTACAAATAGAGGTAAATGGAACAAAGACTGAAACAAGAAATATGATATGTCTCAAAAAAAAAAAAAAGCACACACACACTAGAAAAATAGAGTAATCAATTATTCTTTAACATACACAAGAGTTCTACAGAGTATGTAAATTTAATTCCTCAGAGTTCATTTTAAACTAATTCAACCTTATGGAATCTTGCTTTCAATAATTAGTAATTTGTACCAGGACAAGCCATTTTCCTCCAGAAGAAAAAAAACCTTTTTTTTTTTTTCAAATAATTGGATTAAGTCTGCTGCTGCTAATTAAAACAGTGAATATATCATCTCTCAACAGTATCTTACATTCTTAGACAAACAACAACTATGTTTGGCTGGTATGGTAAATTGGGCTTAATGGAGTTAGCAGACAGATAAGAGAAGCTTTTAGAGGGAAAGAGCATATATTCGGTACCTGTAAAACTATTCAGTTTTATAGTTAAAATTTCATAAAAAGTATCACAGAGAGCTTGGTAATGGTCACAGGAATTTAGTTTGATTTGGGCATTTACTCTCAGATAATTCATTCTGGTGTTATAAAATAAAATAAACAACATTAGTCACTTATTTCCAATGCGACTTGGGGCAAATACATTTAGGGTTATAACATACACATGTCTAGCCAACTTCCTTCTTACAATATCTGGAAGTAAAAAGGTATGTCACCTTCAATTTAGTGAAATTAATTACTTGGTACCTCAAGGTATTATTAATACCTCAGGGCATTAGATTCAACAATAATTCAGTACCAAAAGTTAAAATCTTGGAGCTGGAGCAATAGCACAGCGGGTAGGGTGTTTGCCTTGCACGCAGCCGACCTAGGTTCGATTCCCAGCATCCCACACGGTCCCCCAAGCACCGCCAGGAGTAACTCCTGAGTGCATGAACCAGGAGTAATTCCTGTGCATTGCTGGATGTGAGCCAAAAAATCTTTACCCTAATGTGACTAAAAAAAAAACTGAATCATAATACTAAAAGCAGTACCATTCCAAATATCTAAGAATCACAATAGAAAATAATTGACATAGGTGAAAGCAATAGTACCAAGGGTAGGGCATTTGCCTTTAAGGTGGCCAACCCATGTTTGGTGCCCAGTAGCCCATATGGTTCTCAGAGCCCAGAGCAAGGTGTAAGACCTCAGCAATCCTGGGTTTGGCCCAAAAACAAAAACAAAAAAACAAAAAACTAACAAAAAAGTACTTTTAAAATGTCTAATGTATTATCCAATAGAATGCATTAAGTTGAAAATAAGCTACAAATGTATTAATTCCAATGTATTTACTCCAATAATAAATAGCTACTGCAGTATAAAGTATTATGCTAAATTTTGTAATAATAAAGAGGAACATAAGAAATTCTCATTTTTAAAAGTCTTAAAATTACAAAGAAAGACATATGCTTATAAGAAAGTGACATGGGGTTGGAGCAATAGTATAGCGGTTAGGGTGTTTGCCTTGCATGCAGCCCACCTAGGTTCGATTCCCAGCATTCCATATGGTACCCTGAGCACCGCCAAGAGTAATTCTTGGGTGCAAAGCCAGGAATAACCCCTGTGCATCGGGTGTGACCAAAAAAGCAATAAAATAAAATAAAATAAAGTGACTATATATATATATATATATATATATATATATACATATTAAGGCAATTCATAACCAAGTGCTCTAGACTGAACAAGGTTTCAAAGGGTTTCTGATTAGTGAGCAAGAAATACTCTCAGTTTTGAAGCATAAATAGAAAGGTAAGGTGAAGGATCTCCATGCCATGAAACATCAAACACACACACACACACACACACACACACACACACACACACACACATCCCACATGAAAGAAAGTGAAAGAAAGTGAGGACTGGAGAGAGTTCAATGGGCTTACTGCATGCTTTACATATGGGAAGCCGGAAGTCGGGGTTTGATACTGGCACTGCATTAGTTCTCTCAAGCACAGAGCTGGTACACCTCTTAAGCACTTTGGGGCCAGGTGTGGCCCCAAAGCCAAAATATTAATAAATAAAAGAAATAGCAAGAACAGAAGGGTTCTCAAAATTCCTCATCAACACAAATTGCTGGAGGCCGGGAAGCATACAAGATTATCTTGGATTCTCCTGTGTCTCTTAAAGGCCTCTACTGCTCAGATGGCAGAGGGCTGCCGTGGGTCTACACCACCCCACAAGCCAAGTGTAAACCTGGAAGCGTTTCTATTTATGATCTCCAGTGCCAAAACAGCAAAGGGCAATCTCCAGCACATTACAACCAAGTATGCGAGTACTGCCAGTAAGTGTGGGAGCACCACAGCAAAGTGTGTGGGTCCTGGCAAATGCGGCAAAGTGTGCTGAGTACGACAGCTGAAGTGTATTGTTCCCTGGTAAGCACAGCCAAGTGTGCAAGCACTCAGACGCTGAAACAATGAAAACAGCAAAGGGAATAAGCATACAGATTTTGTGCTCTACTTCATTAAATATCTTGTTCACGTTAACATAAAAAAAAGTTTTTCCTCTCAAAATAATACAAAATGTGTTCGACTTCATTAATACTTCACTTGGTTAATATCGACATTTCGATATGCCAGACACAGTAACAACAAAGTCTCCAATGGAGACGTTACTGGGCCCGCTCGAGCAAATCGACGATCAACGGGAGGGCCTTTACCTTTACCTTGGTTAATATAAAAATAAAAATAACTTTTTTTTTCTTTTCAGAATATTTCTATTAAATTTAACACTCCAAAAAGACGGGCCATGATCTAAGAGTATGCACCTGGGGCTGGAGCGATAGCACAGCTGGTAGGGCATTTGCCTTGCACGTGGCAGACCCCGAGTTTGATTCCCAGTATCCCATATGGTCCCCCAAGCACTGCCAGGAGTGATTCCTGAGTGCAGAGCCAGGAGTAAGCCCTGAGCATCACTGGGTGTGACCCAAAAAGCCAAAAAAAAAAAAAAAGAGTATGCACCCTACAGGATACCAATAAGAGGTAACACATGGAATAAAGAAAATCATGGGTGGAAGAAGCCACAGCAGTGATTGTAGAGAGCAGATCTCTAGCTCTGCAGACACAGACTGTTGAACAGTAAGAAATAGTAAAAAATATTTTTTGTATTGGGGGCACAACATCCTGCTTATCCAGCAAGATTGGCCTGGCAAGTATACAAAGGAGAGATCTCTAATTTTCACAAAAATTTTTTGGAATTCTATTATGTGTCAGGTACTGATCTAGCTGCAAAGAATTGCACAACAGAGGCAAAAATCCCTAACCTACTGGAGTTTACATTTCAGCAGGGGGAAAAACAGTTAATTTGAAAGATAAAAATGGGACTAGATAGGGGAGTTCACAGACAAGAGAGATGTAATCATACAGGCAGGGAAGGGAAGATCAGAAAAACCTGATTATGCCCAAGTGACAAAGAGGAGAGTAGTACCTACAAGAGAAATCAGGGAGTTAGAAGAACAGGTCTACGAAGGGAGGGTAGGTTAAAAAATAATGAAATGAGGTTTGCAACAGAAGAGATGGAAATCCGTGACTTCAAGATAAGGTTTAGAGATAGAGACTTCAGGACTACCTGCAGACAGAATTAAGTGGAAGTCACCCAAGGGAGGAAAAAAAGAGAAACAAGTAAATGGGAAAAGGCTTGATAAATATCCATGAAAGCAGGAAAAAATACTAGGTCAAAAAAAAAATATCTAAGGGAATGTTTGAGGGTTTGAGAAATAGTACAACAGGTAGAGTGCATGCCTTGCATGTGGTTAACCAGGTTCAATCCGTGGCACTCATACTGTCCCCTAAGCCACATCAGCAGTGATCCCTGAGCACAGAGCCAGGGGTAAGCCCTGAGCACAGCTCAGCATGGCTCAAAACCCAAAAATAAATAAGGACATTTGAAGAACAATGGAGAGAAGAGTACAAAAATGATAGAGAGGGAAAAGAAGAGGGAGAGAGGAGAAAGAATGTGTGTGTTTTTCCTTTCCTGCATGTATGTGCACACGCTTTTTCCTCCTTACCTGCTTATTCTTTTTCTGAACCCATTCCTTGTGTTTTTCTTCAGCAATTATCTTTCTTTTTTCACGTTCTTCCATTTCTTTTTTCTTTTCTAGCTCTTGATTTAATTGCTGCAAATTTTATTTCAAACAAAAGGCAACATTTAATAGAAGAACTCGAGTCATTTTTTTTAAAAAGCTGAGGTTAACCAAATTAAACAAGAATATAGTTTCCTTTATAGAAAATATACCATTAGTGACAATGACTTAAGTAACTAGTCCACGATGAAAAGAGAGCCTTGGTAAAAAGTATAAGTCATTTTTTAGAAATGCAAATAATTGCTTGGCAGAAAAACACTAGTTTCTTAGACTAAACTTCAGCTAAATTATCCTCATTGAATTCAACTTTCCCACACATAAATTTTGGCATCACTGTTAAGCTATTGGCTGTAGCTCAAGAGAACCTCGACTTTTTTAGTTATAAAAAGCTTCAAGATTCTCGATGAAGATAATGGATAGGAATTAAATAATCCCTAAATTAAAATTTTAATTCAGAGTTCCACCAAAGAAGAAATGTAAAGAAGCCATTCAATTTCCTTTCAGGAAAAAAAAGAATCCAGGCTTTTCTTCACTGATTTTATAGCTGCTGGAGTGTAAAACAAAACCACATTCATATCCCAGATTATTTAACTGCCTTGCTGTCACTCGAATCTACACGTTTGGGCATTTCCTCGGGAGAAAGAATGTGGAAAGTATGGCCAAATAAAACTGCAAGCTGAATGCCACCACTCTGTCACTCATCAGCTGAATTACTGCATTAGTTGAGAATGCTGTTCAAACTAGACTCCTAAGGCTTTACTGCCATAATTACCGGTTATTTTTCTTCTCTCTTCTTAGATACTAATAATCAGATATTTTTATGTATCCCCATTGATCCCCACCTCTGCCTATCCCAAAGACTTACTACCTACCTGAGCACAGACAGATAGGAATAACAATTCTTCAGTTATCAGACTATTCCAGTGAATTAGATGAATCTATTCCAGTGAATTACATGGACTAAAGATAAAACATGATACCAAGAACTGTTTTTTTTCCTTTTACTTTAGAGCAAGTGGTCATGGGAAACCTGTTTTCTATGATTTCAACCTCAAATTTTCCTGCATAAAAAATAGCTGTCTGGGGCCAGAGCATAGTACGGTGGGTAGGGCACTTGCTCTGCACACGGCAGACCCGTGTTCCAATTCCTGGCATCCCAAGTGGTCCCCTGAGCAATGCCAGGAGTGATCTCTGAGCACAGAGCCGGAAGTAAGCCATGAGCACTGTTGGGTGTGACCGGAGCGATAGCACAGTGGGTAGGGCGTTCGCCTTACAAGCAGCCAACATGGCCGACCCGAGTTCGATTCCTCCACCCCTCTCGGAGAGCCCAGCAAGCTACCGAGAGTATTTGATATGCCAGACACAGTAACAACAAAGTCTCCAATGGAGACATTACTGGGCCCGCTCGAGCAAAATAAAATAAAACTAGAAAAAAAAATAGTTGCCCTCACTTACCCAGAAGATCTTTAAACATTTTATTCCCTTGTCACAAAGTAAAGTATCCACTGTGGTTTTCAAAAGATTCTTCATGACATTGGCAGCTACGATTCCTTGTTTATTCATTCAATACAATTACTCTTCAAATTTTCTAGGTTCTCAAAAACCATAACTTTAAGTGAAATTAGTTCAACAAAATCAGGTCCTTGGATAATAATGAATAGCATTTCATTAATCTTAGCTGGGATTTCTGTTTTCTCATTAAAATTACAGCCAAAACACATGGAAAAAAGTAACTACAGCACTGCTAACACTTTATGAAATGCCTAAATTTAAAGACTGTTAGACACAGGGATGAGTTTCCAAAAGTTTCTGATCTAACCTGAATTTCAATACACAGAAGAATTGAATGGTATATTGTGAAGTACTGTATGTATAAAATCTAAATTCAGGAAAGGGAAAAGTGGGGAAAGGAAAATAAAATGAGAAACTGGATCTACTCTGATCTCTGACTACTCTGTAGGAGATGAGCATCTGAATAGGAACAATGAGGAAATCGATGACTTAGAGGGAGAGAGTGGGGACAAACTAGGGGAACAGGCAAAGTAAACTGAACTCTGTGAAAACAGGAGCACACAGCAAGAGCCACGATGCTATAAGAGTTATAGATTAAGAAAGGGTCAAAAAAGTAACCTAGAAAATGCTGCCACTGACCCCAGTGTTCTAATCTCATCTGTTCAAGTAATTTGCCATCCACGACTATGCATCATATTTTGAGACACAATTTCCCCCCACCATTTCCAAGGCTGACCTCGCTTAGAATTTCCCATCCTGAATGACTCCATCTGTTCGCTGCCACAGCAAGTTCTTCCAGACACAGCTGGAGTCTTCTCTCACTGGGCCCCTAAGTCATCTTCTGGTCTACCACTGAATTTCAACTGGATTGAAGCTATTTTCCCACAGACTAAACACTCGACTACAGAAAAGCAGAATCCAGTGAGGATTTTAATATGCATTTTTACTTCAATAACTTTTGCCGACTTTCAAAATCTTCTTACCACAGAAAGTAAAATTCAGAAAAGCTGATAGATTTTAGTTTTATAAACTATAGCCTGCTCTATTTCCTTCATTAAGAGCTAATGAATGAAAGAGTCAATAAGAGCTAATGAATGAAAGAGTCAATAGTTTTATAAACTATAGCCTGCTCTATTTCCTTCATTAAGAGCTAATGAATGAAAGAGTCAAAGGCAAATGATGAGAAAAAGAAAGAAAAAAGCACCTGCATTTTTTTCACAGACTCGATAATTTTTATAACTTAAAACAGATTATACCATAGCGCTAAAACAACTGTTAAAAATTAGAATTAGACAAAGGCCATGGAGAAATTAAGCCAATCTGCTGAAGACCTCTTTAAATAATAAAACTTTAAAATGCATGTGACCTACAAAACCTATGCTAAGTTTTCATAATACTGATATTCAACATAGTTACAAAAGTAAACAATTTTGTATGTGGAAAATTTTGATGGGATAATATAAATTTTTAAGTTGATCTTATAAAGATGTCTGAAACAAATCTAAATGCCTGTTAAATTAAATTTATGAAAAGAGATATGTTTTTAATGATCTAACTACCCTTTAAATTTTCAAGAAGATAATTTAAAAAAGCCAGGTTGAGGGCCAGAGATACAAACCATCCGGTAAGGAGCTTGCTTACGTTGTACACAACTGGCCCCAGTTTGATTGTCCCCTGAGCACCAACAGGAGTAAGCCCTGAGTACAGAGCCAGGAGTAAGCCCTATACACCTTCATGTGTGGCCCAAACCTATACCCATTCCCATTCGAAAAAAATTTAAAAGTCCAGGGTAAATTAAAAACTAAGCACTAAGTCTAACCTATTTATTCTGAAACCACTGTAAAGTTACTTCTAGGCCTTCTTGCTTTAACAGAAATTTAAGATGAACTGTTTCTTCAGTTAAAAATCTTGTAGTTAAATCTTGAGTTAAAAAGCTTTTGGACAGGTAGCTCAAAGGGTAGAATACATGCATTGAATCTGGAGGTTCTGGGTCTGATTCCTGGCTTTGATCCATGGTTCTCCAAGCACTATACCAAGAATGACACCAAGTGCTAAGTTAATAGTAGCACCTGAGCGCCTCTAAACACAATTTACTGCATCACACCTACTACCCAAGTGCCAACGTATCTCCATTCCTGTCCGTAGGTTCCTTCTCTTCATTCCCAATAACAGGATTCAAACAACTTAATTAAGAGAGTAAAATGGGATAGAGTAGAGGTGACTTAAAAACAATTGTGAAAAGTCTTTAGTATCGGTGGAAGTGCATAATTCTGTATGCCAAAAGAATCAATGTTAACACCATTGTAAAAAAAAAAATGTTACAGTTTGCCTTACATTACGAAGTCCCTGGAATTATTATACATAAGGTTTATGCTAAAATATAAAATACTTTATTTGCTTTGAAGTTATGACATAGCCATAAAAAGTAAAAGTATTAAATACATTAAAAGAATTTAATCTTTTGATCCTGCTACTATATGTTTATTACTATAATATCCTACAATAGTTTTAATCATTATTTGAGGGACTTTTTATTCACTATTTTAATTTTTTTTCAAATAAACCTTGGTTACCATCTCCCCGCACATATAAAGACAACTTTTATTGAATGCTTCCTATATATTGGGCCACATCCTGGAGATCAGTTGCTCCTTATAGCACACTTTGAAGCAACCATTTTGTCTCTTTCATAGATAAACCAAAGCACAGAAGGTCAAGTGTAGGATGACATTGCTTTGACCTTTCTCCCTTGCCACAAGAGTTTAGGTTTATTGGGTCACACCCATCAAAGTGCTCCTGAGTCACTCCCATTCTTTTGTTTATATGTAACCACTTCTCTCTGCTCTCTTCCCTAACCAGTTAATCAGCTTATTCTTCTCTAATTAGTTTCTGTTAATTTGTAAGGTCAGATCTTTCTAGGACACTGAACTTGTATTGTAAGTTAACATTGCCTTTCTCCTCTCCTTATGTTTTTTGAATAGTTAACTTTAAAGAAATGTCCTTTTGTATAGACACAAGAAGACAATATTATGCTTTTGTAACTTGGGATTTAATTGGCTTTAAATATTATTCATTCCCAGGCATCTATGTTCTCAACTTATGCCTCAGTTGCCCTCAGTTCCTAGCACCCCAAAAACAGCGTCCCGGCAAGGGACTGAATGGACCCAGGGCAAGCTGTGAGCTACCCTGGAATCAAAATGGGCCAGGTCAAAGCGCTATGATTCTTAACTATAAGAGCTTGATCATGGACAAATGCTGTCATAATCCAAAAGTAACAACGAATCTAGGGATAACTGCTAGGGATAGGAAAGACTAATCTGGCCTGAGCACTGTAGTCTGAGATTGAGATGACCCCAGGAGAGCAATTCTATAAGCTTAATGCATCTCTTACTGTGTCCATACAAAATGATTAATATTATGAATGCTTATATGTTTGTTGGACAAGGAGAGGAGAAATACACCCATGGGATTCCGCTATTGGATGGGTCGACCTGCTGAAAGAGAATCTGTCCTAGTAGCAGCATCCCTGAGGGAAAGAACTTTAACACTATGGATTGTGACCACACCTATGTGTAAACCCAACCCCTCATGCTTTGGGGATTTAATGAGGCTGTAAGAGTGGGCTGGGGGTTCCAGATGGGGGGGGGGGCAGGAGAGGAGAGAGAGAGACAGGAGTGAACGGGGATGAGATTAGAATAAACGGCTATTGAGACCAATCAGCCTGGCTCTTGTTCCTTCCTTCGCCTGCCTTTGGCCAACAGCCGTCCAGATCCAGTCCACACACAGTGGACTATAGAGCACTGAATGCGGGTGGTGAGACAGAGTCACCCAGAGAGCCTGCGAACACATACCCTTCAGCATGCGTAGTTTTTTACAGTCAAGGACTTGCCCAAAGTCCAAGTTTGTAAGGTATGAATTAAGGCTCCAAATTGTGGCTTTGGGGGCTAGAGTGATAGTACAGCAGGTAGTGCATTTGCTTTGCCACGTGACCAACCTGGGTTTGATCCCAGAATGCCATATGGTCCCATGAGCTCTGTCAGATTTAATTGCTGAGTACAAAGCCAGGACCATCACCTCTCTAATATACAGTTTGTGGATGGAAATATTTGAGAGTGAATTTCAGTAATCTCCCCAAGGTCACAGAATTGGAATGTTGGGCTAAAATTTCAGCCTTGTTCTTGTGAGTCTAAAGCCCTGAGTCCCTGAGGAATTTTCTGTAATCAAATTAACTTTTTTGTATTGCATGCTATCCAAAAACAGTTGACATGACCCTCTTTCTCATGCAAAATACTGATATCTTAGGGAGCCTAGAGATATATACCATTGATTGAACGTCACTTTCCATTCTCACTAGATCATTGCTTTCCCCAATATAAGTAAAAAAATCAGTTTAATGAATTATGATCAGCATTTTAAGAAAAAGAACAGAACACCAGGTTTTTTCTTTGTTTTTGCTTTTGCTTCTTGGGTAACAACCAGTGATGCACAGGGGTTACTTCTGGCTCTGCATTCAGGAATTATCCCTCGTGGTGCTCGGGGGACCATATGGGATGCTGCGAATCGAACCCAGGTCTGCAGCATGAAAGGCAAATGCCCTACCTGCTGTGCTATTGCTGCAGTCCCAGAACACCAGGTTTTATACAAATTTAAGATCAGTTCAGATACAGAAACATATGTATGTATGTATTTGTGTGGGACAAGAAGCAAAGTAGATTTTTTACTATGTATAAGTATTTGGAAGCTGAACTCAACAATGAAAATATAAATGTTAAAGCTTGAAGGTAAGATAAAAGAAAAGAAATCCAGGATGGTCTCAATGATAACACCAATCCTGAAAATAAAAAGATCTTAAAGATAGTAGTAATGGGTAACAGTGAATATCAATGATATCAACAATACCAATAAAAGGGCCAGGAAAGGTAGTTCAATGGGTTAAGGTGCATGGTTTGCAAGCAGGAGGCTTGGATTTGGCCCCTAACATCACATGATCACCCAAGCATTTCTGGGTATAACCCCGGAGCACTGAGTGGGAAGTAGCCCTTGAACTCTAGTGGGTGTGGCCCCAAAAGAAAACAAATCCCCAAATACCACCAGGAATCATCCTTACTATTTTTTACATTTAATCTACACAAAAATTCTGTGACACAGCTATTATTTTTTTCTTAGAATTGTACAGTGAGGAAACTGAGACATAAAGTGCTTAAATAAGCTTGCCTGACTATACAACATAGTCTTCCTCGAGACCTTGCCCTTCAAAGAGGAGATGTTGTTGTGTATTTTACCACAAATAAATTAATACTTCAGAATACAATGTATCAGGCTAGAGGAAAGTAGCAAAATATATTGATTGGTTTCTACAATCACTTGAAACATATCAAATCTCCTGATTATGTAACTACCTGGTAAGAAACATAGCATGGAAATAACAACTAGATTCAAAACCAACATGGAAAATTTATTCCAACATCAGGCTAAGTAAAGGATTTTTTTATATAAACAACATTATTAACAGATCAGAATAAATGCAAATATCCCCAAATACTAAATTAGTGAACTATATTTTAATACATATTTAATACCCTTAAGTATATTTTATACAGTCAGCTATTTAAAAATTATGTGAAAAAAATCATGATACAGATACATAGTCATAATTTAACAGGTAGAAGAAAGTGGGATAATAAAGAGTTTGACCCTAGGGCTGACGATGACACTCAACAGTAGAGCATTTGCCTTCGATCCCTGGCACTTCTGAAAAAAAGAAAGACTAAAGAATTTGCTTTGATTTCATCAAAAAAACAGGAAATATCCTACATCACTTAAATCTACTTTGCTTCTGTATATGGCTTAGGGGAGTTCAGATGTGAGTTTGGTCACTACGAGATTCCAAATTATCCAAATCCATTTGGTTGCTAGGTTCTAAGCAGCAAATAGCAAGAGTTCAAAGGATGCAGGATTTCTGCGAAAATGTATTCCAAGCTCTTTTCAGTTTGGATAGGCAGAGCTCAGAAGGAGAGCTGCGAAACAGAATGTCCACAACTGAGGCAGGCAGGCAGGAGGAGACAGAAACACACTGGAAGTCCGTAAGATTCCTTCTAGTACCACAAACTCACTCAGGGTACGTACTCTAAGTGACTGGAGGGCAGATTTGTCTCTATTTTCATTTTCCTTTCTTAAAAAATTTTACCAGGCAGGGCTGGAGTGGGTAAGGTGGTTGCCTTGCACTCTATCAGTTTTGATTCCTGGCACACCACACAGTCCCCCAGTCCCCTCCAGGAGTGATCCCTGAGTGCAGAGCCAGGGGTAAACTCAGAGGACCACTGGGTGTGACCCAACTGCCTTACTCCCCTTTTTTTCAAGGCTAGAGAGATAATATAGGATGCAAGGTACCTGCATGGCCTGTGACCTTAGATCATATGTGATCACATATGACCTAAGTTCCCTGAGCACTCCTAGGTGTGACCTCACACTGGTCAAATATTTTTTTCCAAGTGTAAGAAATTTGATTTACCGGCACTGGTGGAGGGATGGGTGTTTGACCATTGTACAATTGAAACCCAAGCACAAAAATCTGTAAATCTACAACTGTACCTCATGGTGTTTCACTAACAAAAATTTAAAAAAAAATGTAAATGATGGAGAATGGGCACTGGTGGAGGGATGGGTACTGGATCATTGTATAACTGAAACCCAAGCACAAAAATGTATAAGTCTACAACTGTACCTCGTGGTGTTTCACTAATAAAAATTTAAACAAAAAGAAAAAAGAAATTAGACTTACCTTATTTACATATGGTGAAGCTCCACTGCATGTGTCTGTATATATACATTTATACATACTTTTTAAAACTTATAAAGCAGAAAATCTGAAAGACTATATGCCATTAACAATGGTTATTTTCAGGTAGTAGGAAAAAATTTTAATTTCAATTTTTCCTAGCTATAGATTCTGAATGCTCAACAAACATGTTTTTTCTTTCTTTCTAATTTTTTTAAAAAATTATTTAGAAAAAAATTTTTTTACAAAGTTGTTCATAATTACATTTCGATCATACAATGTTCCAAACACTATCCCTTCACCAGTGTATATTTCCCACCACCATATCCCCAGTTTCCCCTCCTTCCTTCCCTATCTCCAGTCTGCCTCTACTGCAGGCATTTTGTTTTTCTCTCTCTCTCAAAAGGAAAGCCAAAGAGAGAGAGAGAGAGAGAGAGAGAGAGAGACAAAGAGACAGAGAGACACAGAGACAGAGAAATAGAAAGAGAGACAGAAAGGAAAAAAGACATGTTATTTCTATAATAAGTTATTAAAATTTATATCAAAGATGTGGTAACATGTAAGAACCATTTAAAGGATAATAAGACTTAACATTTAATTCAGACAGAAGATTACCTTGTGATCTTATGAACCAGTAAGTTAAAAATAATGCTGTTGGCTGGAGACACAGCTCAACAGGCACTTTTTGGGTTCGATTCCTGGCACCCCATGGTCCTTAAGCACCATCCAGAGTGATTCCCCAAGCACTTGGGTAGGAGTAGTCCCTTCGTACTGCCTAGTGTGGTCCCGAAATGCAAAAAATGCAAATATTGCCTAGCTTTACCTCTAGAGCTTTCTGTTGCAGACGGCCACGTTCTTCTTTTTCCTTGCCCACAAACCACAGTTCCCATGGTGTCAGGCTAGCTTCTTGTAAGCGTGCAATTTTCTGCTCTTGGTTATCTTCTGATCCAGGCATATTACTACAAAAGACAGGACACAGTAGCACATGTATTTAAAGTTCTTTGGCTTAATAGTCAAAATCACCAGTTGTACAGAAAAAGCAAGATTTAATACTGTATTTACAACACCGATTTTTATAAGTAAATGTATATATGAATTGGTTATATATAAATATGCATTTGAAAATCCTTAAAAGGAAGGCTAATATTTGAATATATTTAATCCATTCAAATGTTTTCATTTCCTTCATCTTCTAAAAAAATCCACTGGGATAATCTACACCTGGTATTTTATTTTGGCACCAGGCATCAAATTTGAAAATAATCCTTTAATCTAAATAAGTCATTTATCTGTACAACTACTTATACTTATTATTTATTTTATTTTTTATTATCTGTACAACTAATTATAATACATGATTTCAATGACGTCCTGGAGTAGACTTTTCCTTTTTCCTCCTTAAAAAGTCATTTTTGGGGAGAAAAAAGGATAGATAGATAGATAGATAGATAGATAGATAGGCAGACCCCATACTTTCTCTCTGGTCTCTGAAGCAAAAGTCCTAATGAGAGATTCTCAATGAAAGGTGAACAGAAGTTCTTAATGCTCTCAAATTTTCTATAAGAAAAAATATCTTAAAACAAAATGTTACCAAAAGTATGTGGCCCTGTTCTCTCTCATTCTGCAGTTGACTTCACTCTGTCAGATGTCCGACGGAGTGCCCAAGAGCTTCCAGATCAGACACTTCTAACCACTGTCTCCATCTCCACCACATATCCCCATTGGTCTGTCTCTTCTGGATGTAGGAAAAACTACATAGTCAAGGTAATGAAGGGAGAGTAAAGACTCAAGTACACATCTACGTGAAGAACAAAAAGGGCTAGGGCTAGTGACACCTCAAACCAATCTGCAACACGGAGAGAAAGGAGTTCAGGAACCAGGGTGGTTAACTTGAGGTCATTAAAGATCCAGCTTCCCTTTGTGCTAAAGAACAGTTCTCCTATGAGCCACCAAATGCCACACCCACTTCCATGCACACCTTCTGCTCAAGACTTTGACTTATTTTCTTTGCCATTTCCCAATTCACTGATGCCTTTACAGAATTTGTACTTTAGTGTAAAAGAGACATGGTTGAGTGTTATTTATCTCATACAAATACAAAAGATCATTTTATACACAATATTTTCCTCTGCGCCTTACAGAATCCTCTCATTTGCTTCCAAACTTTCCAAATGTTACTAGGTGTTGATAATGCCCAGATCAGTCATCCGAGGCCAGATCTTACTCCTGAGGCTTGAGATATTATTTCCAACCATCTAATATTAACAAATAATTATGAAACTCAGCTAATCCAAAACAAGCCCAATCATCTCTCATCACCTATCCACTTACCTTCCTAAAAGCTCCCAAAAAAACCTTTTTTTTTTCCCTTTCATAATCTCACCTCAGTGAATCACACTACCAGTCAGGCCAGAAGCCCAGATACTTGCTTCTTCCAGCTCTCCATTGCTTTCTCTCTCCTCTCCCACACCCACAAAAGACCCGAGCCATGTATATGTTACTTCTTTCAATTTTCTCCTCCTACTTTATCAATCACTATCTAGACTGAACATAACCGGTCTTTCTCTCTCCACAGTAAGCCAGATTCCATGCTTGTTACTAGATTCAACCTTCATATACAGTCTTCTTTCATGTCAACTCTGAGTTTACAAGTTTTTTAGTGGATCCTTCATCCAGATAATGAAAGCCAAATATCAAAATCTGATACTCTGGAATTGGCACTTGGGCCAGATACAGTAGAAAGATAAATTCCATACAGACTATCATGCCTATATTCCAGCATCTTCTTTCTCATCTAAACTCTATACACCAGTCTTACTGAACTTCAGCAGTATGATGAGTGTCATGCCTTTATGTACTATAGCTTTCAAAATAACTCTCAAGATTTCATTCTTCTGATTTGACCTATGGCCATTTAGAGATTACATTTGGGAACAGACTATTTGGGATGAAACATTAGTTTCCTTTTCTTTTCTTCTTCTTTTTTTTTTTTTTTTGTTTAGTTTTTGGGCCACACCTGGAGATGCTCAGGGCTCTGCACTCAGGGATTGATCCCAGGTTAGCTGCATGCAAAGCATATGTCTTACCCACTATACTATCTCTCTGGCTCCTAGCTATGTCCATTTTTAACCTCTTTAAGTCCTATTTACAGAGATAACAACTGTGATACACTGTCATAGCATGAGACAATCCATGCAAAAGCACCTAGAATAGTTCTTGCACTAAGCATTGGGTGCATGTCATGTTCTTGTTGCTGCAAAAATTATAGTAATTAAGAGTTTTAGAAGTAATATGGTGGATCCCTACCCTCCTAACTCAGGCGTTATATTTATTTTCTCATAGTGAAACCCTGCAAAATATCTGGACTAGATGTCTTGGATTTTTCTGACCCTTGCCCATCTCTGCTAATTGGCCATGATTCCTTACCAGAGAGAAAATGAATCTTAACTCATTCTTATTTTCAAGAGTCTAGCTAATGTCCCAGAACATAGTAGGATGTAACAAAATTTGTTGAAAGAAGAAATGAGTGAAACATGTGGATTTTATAGTTTTAAGTTTCAAGTTTCTTGACTTAACTTTTTAAAGAAATGTTTTTGTTTGGGGGCTAAATATTTTTGGGTACACCTTGAGATGCTCTGGGGCTATTCCTACTCTGTGCTTGGGGGTCACTCTCAGCAGAGCCTGGGTGACCCTGAAGTACTGGAAACCAAACCAAGGCACCCCACAGGCAGAACGTGTTATCATCCTATTAAACGATCTCAATGGCTCTGCCTTAACTTTTTTTTAAATCCTTTCTTTTAGGTTTCTGGGTCCCACCAGGTGGTATTCATGGCTTACTCCTGGCTCTGTGCTCAGGGATCATACCTGCTGGTGCTCAGGGACTGTATGTGGTGCCAAGGATTGAACCATGACCAGTGTGTGGCAAGGAAAGTGCTTTACCCACTGTACTATCTCTCTGGGACCCCTTCTGCCTTAAGATTTTTTAAAATGAGTTTAAACTGTGCCATTACAGTTCTAGACACAATCAAGAGAAGCCTAGACAAGCAGCGGTTCTTTACCAGACATTTTATTAAAACCTGGGTTTCCTAATACATAGAATGATATAAAAATTAACATAGAGCTGGGGCAAGAACAGGACAAAATATAAAGACTAAGAAAATAGTTTTCATTATCTTGTCTGATGGCCCGAGTCTATTTCAAAGAAGCTTTATTCTGTCAAAAGAGCCTTATACTCCAGGTCAGAGGGATAGTACTGGGAATTTTAGAAAACCTCAAACAACTGAGTTGCCATTTTGATAGCCATAATTCCTTAGACTGCAAATCTATATTTACATAGCTTAGTTGTCTTATTTAGGCTCAGAAGATATGGTCTAAAGACATCATTTATTTTAAGATCTGTGAGAGCATCTCAGTCATAAAGAACCCCCTACACAGGACAACATAAAAACAGACTCCTAAAACGCTACCACGGACTATCAGGCTGATTAGAGAAGGCCAATCTCGTTACTGTAAACTGTTCGGACAAGTGGTTTGCTTGGTTTCCATTTCCATTGCTTTTTCTTCTCATTCACTGGGGAAAAGGTATAGGGAGATAAGGGAATGGTTCCAAAGTGATGCTTAGAAAGTCTGGGTCAGCCCAGATATACTCAGCCTGGCCAGTGCAACTCAGTGACACCTGGACTGGCCATCAGCACCACACCAAGGGGTCCTCTAGGGATTAAATTCGGGGTCTCAAGCATGCAACGAGGTTGCACACCTTTGAGCTATTTCTCCCACTCTGTTTTGTACCTCTTACATCTTCTATCCTCTGGCTTACAGTTTTACAAACAGAAACTTGTAAACACCTCTGAGGTGACAGTGAGTCTACCCTACAGTTGGTCTGAATTACTGGGGCTGTCTCTGAAAAGCAATATTCCTGGATACAGTTATGGCCAATTGCTCCACAACAGGCATAGAACGTAGAGAAGAGAGCATATGATGGGTGTTCTTTGAAAGTTGGCCCAGCTCTATTAATAACTAGATGTATTCCTCTGAATCAGACTCTATTCTGAGCCAGTTTTGTTATCTGGAAAATGAACAGCTTGATCTATGGTTTAACTCCAAAACAGAAGAGGCCATTTTTATCTTGTTGATGGCCCTAATATCTAGATTAGTACGTAGCACAATCCGAATGAGTAATTGTAGCATTAAACCAATTAAGATATTTCAGTAGTCTCTGTGGTGGTAGCGTTCTTTGATTCACTGACCCCAAGTTGTCTGTGGAAGCAGAAGCTGACATTGCTGACCTCTGTGTTCCAGCTCCTTATTTATGACACTAAAAGTATGCTGTCTCGGGGATGGAGAAATAGTACAGCCGGTAGGGCCCTGGCCTTGCACACGGCCTACCGGGTTTGATCCCCAGCAACCGTTATGGTTCCCTAAATAATTTCTGCGCACAGAGCCAGGCCTAACCCCTGAGCATAGCCAGGTATGCCTCGCATTTCCCTCTGCCAGCCACCCTCCCACCCTTCGCAAAAAAATATGCTGTCTAGATAAAAGTATCCTACTGGAAATTAATAGGTACTACCAGTACGTGGCAAGCCACATTTTTTTTCAGAGTGAAGGGTTTGAATCAGCGTTCTGAAACTCACAATCCGGCGTGTGAGTTCAAACAACTCCTGAAATGGTAGCAAAACTGTGCATGCTTGCAACTGCTTTTTCTATCCATTATTATTATTTTTTTTCCTTTCTGGGTAGTGAGATGTTAGTAGTTACATATTCTTCCGAAGTAGGAGTAAAAAAAAAAAAATCATCGAAACGTTGTAGCCCAGGACGGACGTGTCCTATGTAGCAAGAGGCGCAGCTATAGACTGTGCATGAACTGCAGGAGCACTGCAGGAGCTGCCGTGGAGAAATGTGAGCGAGGGGTGGAACTAGGGAAACCTGCAGCGGGGTGGTGTGGTGTGGGGCCGGGGACCTCGACTTTACCTGGCGCACCCCTGTACATCCATGCCTCTCAAGCTCTCCACCTGGGCCTCTGAGTGATGGGCATCCTGATCGAGGTCTTCTTCATTCTCCTCCTCCTCCTCCTGGTCAAAGGGGAAGCCCTGGTGGCTCAGGGGAGACAACAGCGACAAGGTGGAATTACTGAAGCTCATCGGCGGCGACAGCCGGTCCAACGTCACCGTCTCCCGCCCCAGGGAGCCCGCCCTGACCACAGAGGAGCTCGAAGACGGCCGAGACCGTGCCCTGGACCTGCAGTCGCCCGGGATCCGGGGGTCGCCAGAGGGTGGAGTAGCCCCCCGTCGCCCCGCCGCCCACATCTGGCCCGCCAAGTTCAAACCGGCAGAGCGGCAGCAGCAGCGGCGGCGAGGGCGGCAGAGGCGGGGCCGCGCTCTCCCAGCAGACACCGCGCGGTTCCGGCGCGGCCAATCGGGAGCGAGCGGACCCCGCGTTGCCATGGCGACGCGTGGAGGCGGCTGCCCGGGCTTTGTCCGGGCCTGCAGAGCGTGGCTTCCTTCCTGCGCTAGGCCGCTCCCCGCCCGCCGGGTCTCCCGCCTGCTGGGATGCGTCGCCAGACTTGTGTGATAAGCCCAACACCTTGGCTCGGTCGGAGGTCCGGCCCCCAGCCGGCTTCCCGAGAGCCGGTTCCCCTCGTTTGCTGGAGTCTTAAAGCTCATTTCGTTCCTGAAAGATGCTGTCATTGAATGATGGCATATACTTGTTTTTTTTTTTTTTTAAGTGGAAGGGGCAGAAGCTAAAACTACACCCGTATCTGACAAGGTCAGATTACAAGCCATGTCTTTCAGCACAGAGCCATAGTTCATGGGGGAAGGATGGTGAGCTTTAGCCACGTTTACAGGGTTCCCCAAATATGCAGTTTTAGGACAATCACGCAGTTTTTTTTTTAGTAGCACCTCGTCTGCCTGGCATCTTATAGTAACTAATTTGTTCATGTTTGTGAATTTGGGGGGCGCTCTTGGAAGTCTATAGTGTGCTAGGTACACGGTAGGCACTTTAAAGATGTTCTTTTCTTGTTAAGATTAAAGCCCTGTCTTTATAAGTTTTTTATTTTATTTTGTGAATTAAAATAATTTTTTAAGAAATCATGCCATTAAAATATCTAATGGGGAAAATTGTAGAATCTCAGATAGCAAGGGAGAAGTGACAAAGTTTTAGTCATACAAAGCCATATACTCTGGTAAATACGGTTTTTATTCAACTTGTATAACTCATAATGCTGGTATAACTATCACATTGAAAACCGATAGCTAAAACACACAATTTATTGACTCAAAAAAAATGACAGAATCTTTGATGAGTTTAGATTTGCAAAATTTAACACCTCTAGAAATAAAAGTAATCAAGGGCAATTAAGGAGGCAAAAGCTTGGGTAAAATACCTGATTATGGTATTTAAATAGAATATTAAGTTCATTAATGCTTTCAACCAAAACAAAAGGAAGGGCTTTAGAGAAAATACTGGGGTGACAGCGCTTGTATCCTGGGGAACCTAGTGTGAATCCCCTATACCACACAACCTCCCCTGAGCACAGGAGCTAGGAATAGCCTCTGATAACCGCAGGGTGAGACCAAAATACACCTGACCTAGGAAACTTTCATTCTCTAGTAATATTGACATACCTTTAATGAGGAAAATCTCTACAATCAATAGTAGCATAAGAAAGACTGCCCACATTAGGGCCTGAAAAAAAGATAAGCTTGATAAACTACACCTAATAGACATAATCTGACATTAACAGCATGGGGGAGGAAGAGACAGATAGAATGAGAGGAGCCAGGATTTTAGTTGGTGTTTTGTTTTGCTCATTACATTTCCTTCATAAGGTCCTTACTCTCTGTATAGTAGGAAAATACTCTATCTTCCACCATTACCTCATTAATTGTTAAAGGTAGCACATAGGACCTGATAAATTGTATTTAAACTCCCAAATTTTAAATACTCGCCCGCATGGCAGAGCCTGGCAAGCTACCGGTGATGTATTCGATATGCCAGACACAGTAACAACAAAGTGTCCAATGGAGATGTTACTGGGCCCGTTCGAGCAAATCGATGAACAACGGGAGGACAGTGATCCTGATCCTGAAACTCCCAAACTTTCCCACGTTTAACTTCTTGGTTATGGGATTAAAAATGCCTGTTACTTCTGATTCCTTAAAGTCTTTAACTAAGGGCTAGAGTGATAGTGCAGTGAATGGGGCATTTGCTTTGCAAGCAGCCAACCAGGATTGAATTCCAGACACCATACATGATATAGGGAGCCCATCCAGGAGTGATCCCTGAGCTTAGAGACAGGAGAAAGCCCTCAGTTCTACCGGGTGTCACTCCCCCAAAACAAACAAAAAAAAACTCCTTCACTAAGCAAATTATGCCCCTTTCTTGATGCTTCAATGGTCATTTTGACCAACAGTTGCATTATGCTGTAGTAATACCAGAGCCACAAGGCAAAGAGCTGCATGGTGCTGATGCTAGTGCCTGAACATAATGAAATCCTGCGGTCTTTCTTGCGCAGCCATTTTATTACTGAGATGAGAAGGCATAATAAATTTGGTGAGTTACATATAAATGTATATGGAATTGTTCAAAAGAGCAGTTATCCCTTACATTTTAGGATACTAACTTCACACTTTCTCTTTTTTACTAATTTATTTTCACTCATGGTATATTTGAGAAAATATTTACAGAGATTAAGGCACTTGCCTTGCACATGGCAAACCCAAGATTGATCCCTTACATAGCCTACTGTCCCTCAAAATCATCAGGAGAGAGCCAAGAATAAGCCTGAGCATCACCACGTGTGACCCCAAAACTAAAACAAGAGCCCTTGATCTTTGTTACAAAAGTATATAAATTATATATACAGGTATCCATGGACATATTAAAATATGTACATATGAAAGAATGGTGAGTTAGGTTTGCAGATTTGCTTCAAAATAATCTAGTGATATTACAGGGGCTTGGTGAATGAGTTGAAGAAGTTAGACCATATGCTGTTGGTAATGGTGATGAGTAAGATCTAAAGAGATGAAGGGAGGGGTTATAAAACTGTATTACATTGTTGTTTGGGGGTGGTGTTTGCTAAACTGAAATTTATGCAGAAATTAAAGACAAAAACAAAATACAATTACATCTCAATGGAAAGTTGGTCATGCTTTGGATCTTAATTTTCAGTGACTTTGCTCATTTAAATTTTTTTAAACCTTCTATTTTCTCGTATCTAAATGAGTGCTTGATTATTGTGAATATTAAGTTATTCCTAAGCATTTGTCAATCGATGACATTTGTAACAAACCTTTAATCATTTGCTTTGGAGTGGGAGTGGGGGGGGGGGGGGCGGGTAACCCAGAGGGTACTTGGGGGCTATTCTTGGCTATGTGCTCAGGAGTGTGCTCAGAGGACTATAATATGGTGCTGGAGGCCAAAGTGGAGTCAGTCACATACAAGACAACTGGTTTAAATTATTTGTTTTTAAATAAAGATGGTATTCTCTTACATTTTACAGGGACTCTGGTTCAGACTTAGAATAAGCTCTGTAAATTGCAGCAGTGTTTTTAATCCAACATTTCTTCTAAAATTCTTCACTATATAATATTTTAGGGGTTGGAGAAATAGTACAATAGGAAAAACACCTTTCTTGCACATGGCTAACCCAGATTTGATCTCTGGCACCTAAAATGGTCCCTGAGCACTGCTATGAGTAATCCCTGGGCACAAAGCCAGGAATAGGCCCCACGTAGCATCAGGTGTTACCCCCTACCCCCAAATTTAATCTCTTCCTGCAATAGTAAGCAAACTCATTACTATACTTAGCTGTAAGTTGAGACCAAATAGACTGTCCACTGAAAATTTTAGTAATTCAAAACAGTGCCTACATTACTAGATCCGTTACCTGACAATATTCTAAAGACCATGTGGTACTGGGGATCGAATCTAGATCTCAAATGCGAAGATGTTTTGCAACCCTTCTAGTCTTGCTAATTTGTTTTGAGATGAATGAGATGAATGCAATGTACTCATCGGTAACTTGGACTTTGAAACAAACAAACCTTTTAGTTTTTTTTTTTACCAAGTTATGATTTAATATCAGATGTGTAAATATACAGACATGATAGCAATTTTTAAAACCTGTGAATAGTAGGCCTTACAAAATTATAACACACTGTAAATAGATCCCACATTTTATACAAACTACATGATTTTGATATACAAAGATTCTGTCTTTATTACACTGACAATGTACAACCATGACTATTTACAATGCCAAGTATATAAACCACAATTTAACATTCTGCTACTGGCAGCCACTATAGTTTAGGAGGTAGCTTTAATTAAACAAAATGAACAGAAGCCACATTTCCCAACTTGTGTTCTAAAAATAATTTACATAAGATAAAAATTCATTATATGCACAGTATATACAGTTTAATTATTAAACTGCAATCTAGCTTAATTTTTTAGTACATCCTTAATAACTAATATGGCAGTGGGTTTGCTATTGATTTAGCATATTGCTCAAAAAAACATATTAAACATTTATAACTTTAAGACTCTACACAGTGACATGTCAAAAGTCCATAAATGAGAGTCAAGTAAAATTTTTTAATTTTTAAAAGCATTGGCCTTTCCCCTCTCCTTTACTAACATATTTGTCTTGTTTCACAAGAACACGTCTGAACTGTTGCAGAGGCACTTATACGTGCCATAGTAAGGGGAACACGTACGGAAGCTTCTGTGTAAGGAGAATCCAGCTCACTAAAAATAAATGTTAAGTGCTTTCTGTCATAATTATCTCCAATTTATTCCAATTAAATGTAATCATTTTTGTCTATCACAGTTTACTTTCTGTATAATTCAAATTATAACACAAAACCAACGAAAACTTGGAAAATGTCAGTACAGCCAATGATAACTTGAAATGTTTAGTAATGGTGAAAATATGAAGATGTCAAATCCCTCTAATACTATTCAAATCCCCTATTAGTTGGAAGTTTAGCCAAACCTATGAAACCCACACAGTAATTAGCCGTTCACTTTTTTTCAGTAGTGTGATCACAAAACACCAAGGGGAAAAAATGACTGTGATTACACCAAAGCAATATATGTAATGACTGAAAAGAAATGTCTAGCTATTCTTTCTAAATATAACAGGTGTCATTGTTTTTAAAACATCTCCAGGTTTTATAGTTATGTGTCAAACAAAATATATGACTGTTATATCAAAGATGGAAATAGAACATGTAGTAATGTCATGCCTGTAACATACTCTCACAGTTCTATCTGGGAGACAGTCCCTTTTTGGCCCTGCAGTAAAATGTCCTGAGATTAATGATGAAACATTAGGTAACATTAG